GAGAGAGAGAGAGAGAGAGAGAGAGAGGAGGGGGGAGGGCTCGACTGCTAGTTGATTACCTTAAAATAGACGTTCGTTTTCAGGCGATAAAACTCTTAAGGTATTAAGCATCCTTGACTTTAAATCGTATTTTTATGGGCTTACTGAAACTTAGTAGTATTAACTGTAAAACCCCAATTTACTAAATCAACGATCAAATCTGTGTTTCAAGCATATCACTTCACACTCACTTCAAATTTCGTGAAGGCGGTGAGGTTATCAACCTTGGAGTAGATTTCCCTGAACATCATCTGAGCATCATGCCCAGGCTGCCACACGTTGAAGACGGACGAGCAGTAGGGCGACGTATTCTCCACAGGCGGCGGGTTCCTCGTGAGTCCAGGGCGACTCAGTAAGCCAACGAACAACCATATCCATTGTAATTCCTTCATAATGGTAGAAAGATCAGTGGTAAAGCCCTCCAAGTGACAACTTTTCCAGTGTATATTGTTTTGGAATAAACGTGAATGCCCGCGTTTGAAAGAAAGGTAGCAAAACGTATTGCAAGACACGGTATTGATTTTTTAATCACCACTTTGAGTTCCAACAGAAATATTTACACAGAAAAGTCCGGAAGGGAATTTGAAAAAAATCAGAGACACAGGTTTGATCTATTCATCAAAAGACTGCGATTGCCATCTTAACACAATTCCATCTTATCTAGCAGAGAAAACAAAAGCTCTGTCGGTTCCCGTAACAGCAATCACTGATGCCTGGCCTTGATAGCTCTTTGGCAACGCGGGGCGGGTGCTGCTAGTGGCCAAAATACAGCGCCGCTGGTTTTCGATCTTGCTCCGTTAAAAAGTAATTCGCTGCCATCAGTAGCCAATCGGGAACTGAGATAGGGGCTCTTCCCATCTGATACAATTGTCGTCTTCGCTGGGCCTCGTTCGGAAAGCTGTTTTAAAGCAAGAACGTGTTGGCAGGTCATGCAGGAGCTTGGTATATCCAAACGGAATGTATCACTGTTCTAAAGTTTACTTTCAGATTTCAATGTTTAAAAAGCTACTTTTGTTTTCTGCATTTATCCGAAATCTTACTTGTACTTTCAATCTTCAAACGATTAAAAAATTGTTTCTTTATGTACTTACTCAAAAGCTTATTTTCAACCTTAAAAATATGAAAAGATACTTTTGGTTTCCATATTTGCCGGAAAGCTTACTTTCTTCCTTCAAAATATGAAAAGATAATATTTTGGGCCATTTTTAATTTAAATTTTTTTCTATAATTGTCATGTTATCATACTTAGCCCTTCCGTGACTCTAATTAATTTTGTTTTCGAATTCGCAAACATTGTTGTGCGTTTTCCCAACAAGTACAAAGCGTACAGTTAATGTCAAAATGTCATTTTATCGTGGTTGCTGAGCTTATGACGAGCAATGCCGTGTGTGGGACGTCAAATATGCCAGGAAACAGATAAAGCTGTATCTCTACCATTATAATACACACTCCAAAATTACAAACAACTTCATGATACCGATCTAAACGGTATTAACCAATGCTGTTGTAAGAGTGAACTGGTTAACGAAACATTATTTGTTACAAGCTGGCCAACAGCATGCATGAACCCTCATTAAAAATTCAACAACTTCCTTTAAGCGGTCATTGGATGAGCCAGGTTGTAGGCGAAGGTATATCTGAAAGACCGCTCGTTACACCAGGCCCGAATTATCGGTTTTGCCTCTATCGCGTGTCTGGTGCTGTTCTTTATTGATTTGAAGATGTCCCTTGGGAGCATGACTGGGGTCTCTGTTGTTCCTTAATTTAAAACCAGATTCATTTTTTTAAAAACGTTCTTTGTTCTTTGTTGTTGTTTACTTTTTAAACGAATATCGATCAAACGAGCGGCTTCTGGTCTGTGGTAGAGCGGTTAGGCACTCCTTTGTCGCATTCGAGACACCTGAGTTCGATTCCTGAGTGTGGAGAAAGTTTTCCCCAGTATCTCTGTCTTTCTGCTAGGATATTGAAATATTGAATCCCCACTCTCAGTCTGGGTTGGCCCTGATCATTTGAAATGATCTAAATTGTGTCGGTAGGGGTGTAAAAAATAGCCTAGATTCTATTTTGAAAATTACTCTCTTGTGATATATCTAATCTTCGGCACGAATATTACCTACTTCTGTTGCAAATGCGTACAATTCTTATCAAAACTAAACTAAAACTAAACCAAAAAACCAATAGGTCTATCTTTTTCGGAATGAGAAGAAGTTGAAACATTTTATTTCCTTAGCCTATACATCTTGACAGTGTCATTATAGTACAGTCCCCGTGGTTTTATGCGCCCCACATAATTTAGCAGAATTTGATCTTTTCTTTTTTTTTTTTTTTTTCATAATTTCTGATTATTTTCCTTCATCATTCTTTGTTAAAATTAACAGTGTCACGGTAGCCAAAGTATTGAACCTTACTCTTTTAATCACGGGACGTAAACGCCCCGTATGCCAAGGTCTTTTGGTTAATGTTACTCACCTCGGGGATCAACATAAAAAGTCAGACATTACACCCGGGCTCATTTTTAGATTGCTTGGTGTCGTGTGTGTTCGTCTCTCCAGTTTACAGTCGTGTGTGTATACTAACGTTACAAACAGAACAGCATAATTTCACATTTTTGGGCTCAGTTTGCATAATTTCATAATTTTTCTTGCTTAAAACGACGGGGACAGATAGTATAAGAACAACACAAGGTAGAAAGTAGGAAGTGGGACGTGGTCGTCTGTACACGTCATTGTCTTGGACAGGTGGTCGTTAGAGCCTGTTTGGCTGACTGGTAGGCTTATCCGCAGCTTGCACTGTATGCTTCCTGGAAAGCCGATGATGTTTCTGAGTCTTGTTCTAGGGTCTCCTGGGGTAATAATGAAGTTGTGGAGCACTTTGAGCATGCTCTAGACTAAGACCGTGGGCGTGCACTACGCAAATGCCATCAATATTAACTTATACTACATTTGTATTTCTTACACGGTTTACTGAAATTATCACAGTAAGCCGTGATTTCTTATCAACTTTTGTCTGAATGGGGGAGCAAGCCAGTATCTTCGTATTATCGAATGATGTAATAAAAGCAATTTACAACGACGACAACTACGTCATTAAAATTAAATTAGCGATGGCAATTTTTGGTCATGTATTTTCTTTTTCTTAAAAAAATCAAAGCAGGCGTCAATGAAAAGGCGAGTTTTGCTCATGAAGCATATTATGTGGAGCCATTTTAACTGACTGCTTACAAGATTGCTTTCCGTTTGGAACTGTATCAATGTCAAAAGAATAGCACCTTCAGAACAAGGAAGCGGACCATAGCAAGCGAAATATATTATTATATAATGACGGCAAAATGCTCTTCCAGACACTGTTATATCATGCTTGTGTAGAGTCATTCATAACCTGGGAAAACGTTTTTTGTTCTTGTTTATGTTTGTTTGTTGTTGTTGTTGTTGTTGTTGTTGTTTGTTTGTTAAGCTTGAGTTTTAAGCCTGGTCTCATTTCCTTCACCTGTTTTATTTTGGCTCGTTTTGTACGAGCCGTCAGCTTTAGAATTGAAGAGTTATTTATTTTTCATTCACCTTTTTAGTAATCATTGACACTGAAACTTTGCGCAAACTCTTTGTGTTACTTGAAGAATAGTAGGGCTTCCGTATGAGTTGGGGCCTTGCCTTATTAAGCAACAACAAAAAAGAGTGTTCGCTAAGTCAAAAGTAACTGGAAGTTCGTTATCGGCCTGCATATTATCAAAAATCATTTTTAAACAAATTTTAATAATGATAACCATCATCATAATCCTAATAACAATGGTATTAATAGTAGTAATTATAGTAGTGGTGATCCTTATAGAAGAAGAAGAAGAAGAAGAAGAAGAAGAAGAAGGAGGAGGAGGAGGAGGAGG